TAGCTGTGAACAGAATCCTTAAATACAACACACTGCTCTATGACTGCTCTTAACTCTCTTTTGGCTTTCTTATGTTCATCCCTACAGATATACACGTAGATATGTTAAGTAAAACCAAGACATTTCAAATCCCAAAATTTGTCGGGAAAAGCTCATTATCTCATTTCACCTTTGCCTAAAATATTGAGAAGAGAAATATTCCCTTTATAGCAAATTATGGAAATACTGTGCTAATAAGTCAATTCATCAGTTTCCACAAAATGTGATTTATAGTAATTTTATATTCAAGACAATTTGCGTAACAATTACTCTCAGAGTAACAAAAACATTTGTCCATAGAAAGATAATCACTTCACCTATTTTCAAGATAAGTTGGGAAAAAAAAAAAAAGTGTTTCTCCTCAGAAAAGCTCAGAAGGTAAAAATATATTAAAACATTATATATAGAATATATGAAACAAAAACATCATCATCATAGATTTTGGAAGCTTGTATCTGGTGAATGACACCAAAAACTATGACAGCAAGCTGCCCAGTAAAATAGAACAATGAAAATTTGCAACAACCTAACGGAAATGAAAAAGTTCCCCAGCATGTGTAACTTGGAACTATACAAACATTCAGGCACAGATATCTACGTATATACAAGAGATACATAAAGAAGTAGAGTTTAGTAAGTTATAGCAAGTTTGCAGAGACAAGAAGGGGTTTTATTAGAAGCAGGCTCTCTGTAGGCTTATTTCCTCTCTCCTCCACATTTTATGTGAAAAGTGAAGCTTGAGTGATTTTGCCTACAACAATTGACTTTCATTTTTGTAAAACTGCGGTGCAGACAGTTCCAGAAAGCTGTCATCTTCATAAACATTGCTTAAAACTGAAGATGTTTAACAGCATCAAGAGACTGAAATTTTCATGTTCAGGTCAAAAGCCACTTGAAAATCTTTTCCAGATTCTGCTAATTGTGTAGTGTGAAATAGTTACAGAAGCACTTTCTAAGTTCTTGTAAAGAAGGTGCCTAAAACACATACAGAAAACTACGTATATTACAGTACTTGGCATTTGCTCAGCAGCCTGAGAAATCTCGGAGCGCTGACAGAACGAGAAGTCAACACATTTTAGAGATCTAGAAATAGAGACAGACTAGACCATGTCAGAATGTGGGATGCTCTTGCATACTGCTGCTGATTAAAGTTTAAACAATTCTCTCTTTACAGCACAAGTTACACAAACCACAGTGTTCAGTTTGCTATTTTGCATATGAAACATGGATTCAAGTTTAGGCTTTTTATTCAAAAGGAAAACAGTAAAATGCAGAAGTCTCCAGAGATCATGAAGGGCTGCTGGTGTGCTCTCAAAGGATTCCACTGAACCTACTAGTTCTGCTGGGATGAAAAGACATACTGGATGCCACTTAAGAGCTGTCTAGATTCCCTACATAAGAAGAAAGAAATACCTCAGATTAAAAATCCTGCACTGCTGAGAGTCACTTATGGGCAGGCAATAGAAAATCGTAAACAGAAGTATATGGGAAAACTGAATTTCACTACCCCATTCAGGCTGCATGTCCAAAATCCTTTCCTGATGACTGGCAACTGATGCCTGGAAGTGACCAGCACTCTTCTCTTCTTACAACGCAATCACCAGAGCAATAACCAGTCCTACTTATCCTGTAGGTCAGAGCATGCTAACTGATCAAACCATTCAGGACATACATCCACAGAGCCTCTTCTGAATCTTCCTGGATTAAGAGACATGACCTGCTTGTCCTATTTAAACCTCCTTGTTCAGAGACATCAGTTCTGGGCACATGCACAATCACAATTACAGTAGTTGGGAAACTAAGAGATGTGTAGTAATGTTAGGTGCCTCTTAGGTTGTTGAGTGCTTTGTTAGTTTGTTTAAAAAAAAAAAAAAGAAACAAAGCCTTATTTGAATTTTGGACTTCACTGACTGTTGTGACCAATATGTTCTGCTTTTGAAGGACAAGTACTCTCATTATCTGAAATATGGAAGCCAAAAATTATTATCCTTGAACTTTCATAACTAAAAATACTCCCCTGGCTTTTAAGGTCACTAACAGCCAAAAATGAAAAGTGTCACTCGCTAAACACATCTTGGTGTTTAAATTCAATGCTCAAACAAAATGGATCCACACTAATAGTTACACATCCACAGTGGCTAACAGTTGCCACTGAACGCTTGTCAGTTACTGAATCAACCTGCTACATGCTCCACACAGCTTCAGTGCTTCAGTTTCACAATGAAACTTGAATAAAAAGTACTACTTCATTATAGCAACTGTCATTTTGACAAGCCGCTAGATCTCACATTTTTGTAGTCGGAAGAACACCACAAATTAAGGCACCAATTGTTTCCTTCACAATTACAATTTAAATGCTATTAAACTCGTAAGTAACACTCAACACATTTTAAAAAGCTTTTTAATAACCCAGCCATACTTTTAGAATAACTTGCTGCTAGCAGAAATACAGTTCTTACTGCTCTGTACCAATGCCAGACTAAATTATCAGTACACAAGAAGTAACATACTGAAGCCCATCCCCATGCATACATGCACTGAAACAGTTCTAGTGAAGATCCAGACTGTTTCTATCATCATCCGCAGGCCCTTATTAATCTGAAGGGAAATAATAACAAAAGCTATGTATTGATATAGTTAAAGAAAACATTCAGCAACAACCACCATGTGCAGCCATTAAGTGTTTGCATTGCTTTTCCACCTAAAATCACCTAGAACGTAACGGCTAATATTAACCAAATATTAAATAAAACATACACATAAACTAATATTTATACAAGTTAACGATGATTTACAATAGTGCAGGTTCTGACTCACTGTTCTAAGTGGACAGATCGAGGTGGCATTACAAACTAATATTGCAACAAAGCATAACGGAGTATGCATAAAATAAGAAGCCAAACAAGAAAACATAGACAATACTCTAGAATATCTCTAAAGAAAAAAAAAACGGACTTTAACACAAACAATTGTTTTATTTTAAAATATGTAGTATGATGTGAGCATAACCCTACCAGCATAAGCACCTTTTTTTGGTTGGCCAAACAAAAGGTGGAAGTCCCAGTTGTATCTGGTGAATACTAACAAAATAAAAACCAACAGTATGAACTGGCCATTCTCAGTATTATCTGGAGGTATCATTAACTACCTGATAAAACTGTGGTAAGGTCTATTGCCTTCTTTTAATATTCTCATATTCAGTTCATTAATACGCTCCTGGCTGTTTCCAACTACAATTAGTCACCTTCTGATGACCTTTGCATCAAATTATGGAAGGTGAAAAGCAAAAATGGACAATTTTGCCTGCTTCTTTAGCAAATCAATAGGAAATTCTAAGAAATAAGAACTGTGCGTTTTTATTTTCCTTGCCTGATGGTAAGCAAATTCAGCAGATACCAGGAAGCAAGCTGAAATATGACTTCAAACAAGTTCCGTTTTAATCTATCTAATGGTTGCGATAATGGTACTCTGACTCAATGTCATTATTAATTAAAGGGAATATTGGTCCTCCCTACAAAGTACTTCTTACAAGATCCAATACAATTTTCAGTTCTTATTTACATACATAGCAAACTTTACACTCAGGTATTGGTTACAGTAATAAAGGGCTCAGAAGTTCTGGTCTTCCATTCTGCGCAACAGCTGTCTGGACATAGTCAGTTGGAAACTACCTCTGAACAGCCATTATTAACCTGGGCTAATATACAGCAAATACTCATTGTGTTATGCAGTGTATATAACATATCATATACACTGTATAACACAAAATGAATACTGATTCTAATAAATTTACTATGATACAGCCTAGCTGCTTCTTAAGAAGTTGGATGCTTCTGCTGAAGACTTGCCCTGTTGTTCAGAGGCTCGTTTCGGCAGAAGTTTTATTTTGTTAACTTCTGAAAGTTTCATATTCTCATGTCTTAAGAAACTGTTCAGCACCTCAAAGAAGATTCCTCTTCTGCACATGGATTTCATGAAGGGGAAAGGATATAGAAAGAAAAGAGTAAAAAAAATGAATGCAGTTATAAGATGGTACAATGTTGAAAATAATTCAAACGTCATTTAAAATACGGATAACATAAAGCTATCCAGAAAGAGTAGAGGAAGAAAATTAAAACACCCCTCCCAACGAAAAAAACTAATCTTCAGAGGAAAATCTTGTACTATTTCTATCTAAGCTTTATGTTTTTCTTCATAAGATGAAAAATTTAATCTGAAAACTCATTTATCAAGCACAAGTACCAAAGCTTGGAAAGAAAACAGCCTAGACAGTTGATGAATTAATCTATCCCACAAAGGTCTACCAATCCTTTTAAAAAAGTTTGTTTCTGCTTTAATCTGCTCTTCCCCGTTCAGCAACTTTTATTATCATCATCTCAAAACCCAGAAAAACATTAATGCCTAATAATCTACACCAGGAACTTGCTGAATGAAGACGCAGGATCATAAACATCTACGTCTTAGCCAAATTACAGATTTGGAAACTTCACATGTGTGGGGATAGAAGAAAAGCAGGGAAGGACAATGGCAGAATTGAATACTACTGTACAGACAACCATTTACTCATACAGATCCAGCAAAAGAGTAAGTTACACCTAGAAGGTAAAAAATATTTTTAAGTACTGTACCACATTACAACTAAAAAAATACCCTCAAAGGTGTATCTGTTGTCTCAAATTAAGTCAGATATTTAAAAACATTAAGTTGTTTATTAAGAAGATTACTCTTGATAATTAGCTTTGTTTATATTTATGTATTTCACTTCACTTGGTCTAAACCAATTCTTTAGGACTCCATTTTCCTTTGATTCATAGTTTATCCTAGCTCCTATGAAAAACAAATTAATTTATTTGCATTCAGAATACTGTCATATCGCAATCAAACTTTGACACTTAAAATCAACCCAGAAATTAGTGAAAATCGCTAAGGAAGCCTGACCACTACAACCAAAGTATACTTACTGATATGAGAACAAAGTACTTAGGATTATTGTAATAAAACGAATGATATGCATACCTAAAATTATCATCTACTGAATCTCTGTTTTCTGAGGTAACAGGATACTTAGGCTTAAGATCCTGCTTTTCATCTGTAATGCAGATGCCAGTACTGGACGCCTTCACAGGACAATTTTCAGGCTCTGCAAGTGCAAGCTCCTCTTCGTTATTGGTTCCAAAAAGGTCAGGGTCATCCTGAATGACATCAATGACAAGAACATCTTCTTTGTAAGCTTCAAGAATATCTGGAAACTTTTGACTTTTGTGTTGTGAAAGATTCCCTCTTGATTTGCTATCATCATTTATTTCTAACGCATCAGGGTGGTCAGCTGCATTCCAAGAATGATCAGGAAAATCAGATTTTAGTACACATTCAGTACCATGGAAATCAGGCACAGATGACTCTAGCTGATCACCAAGAAAATTACATGGAGATAAAGAAAAATGTTCAGGGAGTGCAAATATCTCATTTGAAAGGTTTTCAGGGCTATCACGCTTAAAGTCCTTACTGTTTATCACAACTGCTGTTTTCTTCATGGGGACTGTAGATGTAGCACCGCTCACAATAGCAAAAGGCTGCTGTGCAGAATTTACCAAAGAAGTCTCTTCACCCGTTTTCTGCCTTCTTGTAACACTAGTGCTGTCAAGAAGCTCTAGTGGACTACGGGTTTCTCTTTCAAATGAATGGACAGATTCCAATTTCCTGGATTCACGTTTGTTTTTGCATAAAGGAATTTTGAATTTTTTCAGGTTCCCAGTGTTTAATACTTTCATTAGCTTTACATCAGAAAACGTCTGGTCCACCACTGATACTTTACGGCTGAAGTTTATTCTGGTTTTGTTACCTCTAGATGTACCATTCCTGACCGTCACAGACAGGTTTCTTTCTGTTACAGCTCCTTTATTTTTATCTTTTTGTTTTGTAAAATTCAAGGTTGCTTTAACTTCTTGCACATAATTATGCCTAAAAGCCACAGCACTTCTATCCATATTAACTGGTGATTCCACATTTTTGTTGCTTATTCTCAAAGTCTCTTTAATACCCACAGAAGAAGATTCTGGCGTTTCAAGTGAAGTCAGACATTTAGCATTTGGATCAATTATTTTATGCGTAGATTCTTTGTTAATTTCTGCCAATGACGTATGCAAATCCAACTGTCCCAAATTCCCAGTCATGACACTGTTTCCTACAGCTTTAACACTGCTTTTATCAGAGGATTCTTCAAAGGCAGCCCTCAAAAGTCTTTTTCCTTCTGAGATGGGCCCATGATTTTTATGAATCCACTCAGAAGTCCTGGCACAAGATTCAAAAGGCCAGGCGTTTTTACCAGTCATAGGTACTGTTCTTTGACATGTAAACTGCTGCAATTTCGTATTAACTTTCTTCAGTTTTTCATCTGTCTTGCTTTTGTGACAATTAGAAACATTATGGAACTGAGCTAGCACTCTTAGGCTACCCGAGGCAGCAGAATCATGTGCCACACTGTTTGAATTTTCTCCTTTTGCTATTACAGAGAGGTCAGATGTCTTCTTAAAGCCATCTTCAAGTGCAAGCAATTTGGTACTATTCTTCCTCCCGACTGATATATTTTGTGCTTCACAAGTATTTTTTCCTATATGAAGATCTGAGGTATGATCACATGACGCTGACACAGTAACTTCTTTATGATTTAGTCCTAAGACTGCAAAGGAGCTTGACACTGCAACTGCCGCTTCTGTTTGTAACTCACGCTCACTGCATTCATTAGCCATGTCTGTGAAAATATTCTGCACTGCTGATTTCTCAGTGATTTTCATCTTTTTTCTAGGCTTTCTACCAATACTCCGCTTTTTTCCCCTTAAACAATTACTGTTTTCACTCTGACAGCATGAAAAACACCCTTCTCCATTTTGAGCTTTATCTTCTTTAGTAAACCATAAACCATGGTTTATGGGTGATCCCTTATCTTCCATTCTACTAGTGCTGGAATTCGTATGACTCTGTTCTACAGTACCATCAGGAAAAACATGCTTGCTTTTATCCTGGGCTATGTGGAAGAATTCACTTAATTTATAACTGCTGGTAGTTCCACTAGCTGAAGACTTCACAAGCGTACTGACGTAACGACAGGCCTCTAATCTCACAAATGGATTCTTTTCTGTTGCACAGAGCAAGCCGTTACAATGGTTTAGGGTGTTTCTGCAATGTTCAGCATCACATTTTGCAGATACGTTTCTCACTTTTTCAGCTGTAGTCACACTACAACCTTGAAAGCACTTGATTTGATCAGTTCTGGGTTTTCTTTTTTTATACTGCACACCAGACTCTTTTGTTACAGGATGGCATAGAAAGCTCTTGCTTTGAGACACACCTAATGTAGCAATTGTAGGAGATTTAGAGTACTGAGGTTCCTTTTCCTTGGAATCTTCTGGTCTGTTTTGATTTGTCTTACACCTCTTCACAGCCTGCGTGCTGGAGCCTTGCTCAATTGCTTCCCATTTTTCCTTTGCTGATTAAAAACAAAGAAGTGTCATTAAAAAATATGCTAACGGAAAAAGGTTACCCTATTGCAGTATTTTATAAAGAGAACAAAAAACATACAAGGGTACTAAGGAACATGACACCGTGTAAGACCAAAACATTTCTGTAAAGTTTTCCCTTTTTTTTTTTTTTTTTAATGAGCACTGTTAGCAGACTTCTAGTAACAAATTATGTTTTATCCTCAGAAAATACCAAGATGGACAGAACCTTAAGGTGTCAAAAGGACACTGGAAAATGTGCATTTAAAACATAGGTGGAAACCAAATTAGAGTAAGTCTGGCAAGAAAAAGCAGATGCTGTTTGCACACTCAGCCTTAAAACCTTTTGTTTAGAGTCTCTGTAATAGGAAAGCTTGTTTATAAGAATAGTGTTTTATTTCAGATATACAGCCATCCAAGTGCATCAGACTATCAAAGAAAATCCAGCAAAACTGCAGGACTTGCATTTTCATAAAGTACTACTTTTTATTTAAGAGCAAATACAGGCAATGCAAAAAACTGTACATTTCAAAATTTTATCTGGAGAACGGACTCCAGAATGTACTGGTAGAATGTTGGGTTGTTTAGATACTAGTTTTCAAAGTAAGATGCAATTTTAATACCTCCATTTTTCAGAATATGGTTTCTAGAGGAAGTATTTATTAATAATAAACTACAGCAAATATTTGTCATTAGAATGTAGCCACTTTGGAAGTAAAAAGGCTGTCTTTTAGGCAACTGTCCCGAAAAAAATGACTTTTAAAAACCCTCGTTCAAAATTGTTCCAGTTTCATACTTAAAACACCAAAATACAATCTTTGTTTCTACATTGCCTAGGATTTTGCAGAGAATAACAACTAAAAAGCAAAAAGTTCTGAAAACAAAACCCAGCAACTTATAAAGGCAAGCACTAAAGTAAGACAGCATGATACATATTCAAAAATAATCAAATAATATACAGATGAATGAAGAATTGACCAGCTTTTATTTTGGCTTTGCTGAAGCTGTGGTCTCCTCTCCTTTGTGTGAAAGAACTGCTTTTCTCCTTCAAGAAAAGCCGTTCCTCTTCCTAAAAATCTATGTTCTTCTAAGACTAGTTTCACGTTATTGCAAAGCAGACCCTAGTTCTTCTCTCTACACTTCTCGAGCTAAGCTAGCAGCCACCCACTAAGAGTCACTTTGAGATAGGGTACAGGCTACTCTTTCCTGCCCCCATGACTTTGTCCCACACAGACACATCTGCAAAAGAAAAAACTATCTCCTGTTTTTTCACTTTCTAAGTCCCTTGTCCTGGGAGCCCAAATTCTTCACCTGTACTTCTACAATGGGGCACAAGCACTTACCACTTTCCTCCAGGCAGCCTGCTCCTTTCTGAGGGTTTGAGCTCTGCAGCTCTTCTTTCATTCCACGCTTGTTCGCCCTTCCTCTGGTTACTGGTTGCTCTTGGCTGCTTTGAGCCTGTAGCTGCTGTGACACCAGCGTACTTCTGCCCCTCTTCCTCAGACTCACAGCTCCTTTCTTGGACTCTGCACAATGTGTATGCAGTTCTGGCAAAGCAGATCTACCCCTCTCTCTGGGACCTTGTAGTTTTAGTTTCTTCGGAGATGTCCCACCTTTCTTCCTCAAGCATCTCCTTCCTTTCTGCTGTGTCCCTGGCTTTTTTGATCCAATTAAAGAACACCCATCCAACTTCTCTGGCATAGCTACCTGTTCCTTTGGTTTTGGTTCAGACAAGGATTCCCAAGACCCCAAATTCTTCTTAAGATCTGGGATTTGCATCTTCAGCATCGTTACGGAGTCAGTGCTTTTCACTTCAACACTGTACTTGTCCTTTCTGGGTTGCAGAACCTCTAGCCCTGGTGAACAGGAAATACCGTATCTCTCTGTGCTCTCAATTTCCTCCTCTGAGGATGGGATTTGTAATTTTATTTCCATAAAAGAGTATTTGCCTTTTTCTCCTGAGCTCTCTGAGCACTCCTGGAAACCTGAGAGGTTAAGTCCTTCTGAGCTATGTTCTTCCCTTTCAATCCTTCCTGAGAATTTATTTTGCGAAGTAGTTCCTGAGAAAAATAGCTGTTGATCTTGTCCTGTCCCTCTTCTCACAGTCTCTTCCCAGCAGGTTGCTGCAGCTGTGGTTGCTGCCTGCCAATCTTCACAAACAGCAGTGTCTGAAATTGGCAGAACCACACCCTTCTTGCTTCTGGCAGCCCTCCCGCACTGTATCCCCGTGTTTTTTTCACCTGGGAGTCCCTGGCTACTCTCACCTTGCTCCTTCTGCATGGGGACAAGAGGAGCAAACTGCTTACAGGAGAAGCTGGAGAGCACAGCAGGCTGCAAACAGGAAGATAAACGCTGCTCCGGTCTTTTCTTTGGTGCCAAGTGAGGACTCTGCTTGGCTACCAACTTCCTCCCTGGCTCACATCCTACCCCCGCACCCAGAGAGTGCGGGCTGGTGACCACCTCGTTGGCCGACCTCACCTTGCTGACAGTTGCCACTTTCCCTGACCTCAACTGCAGCATCATCGGAGCCTAGGGACAGCAACAAAATCCACAAAATCCGCTCACCAGGGTGCCTTTAATAGCGCTCCCGCTAGCCCAGCGCCCAAGGCCCGACCAGGAGGGGAGCACAACCTCCCTCAGGGGTCACCCCGGGGGAGTCCGGCCTGATAAAAAGCCCAGCCCGCCTGCGGCCAGCAACGAAGGCCTCTCCCCGCCCCCCC